GCGGCGGACCCGTTCGAACAGCAGTAACCATGCACCCAGAACCACCAAAAAAAAAAAAAAAAAAAAAAAAAAAAAAAAAAAAACAAAAAAAAAAAAAAAAAAAAAAAAAAAAAAAAAAAAAAAAAAAAAAAAAAAAAAAAAAAAAAAAAAAAAAAGAAAAAAAAAAAAAAAAAAAAAAAAAAAAAAAAAAAAAAATTAAAAATTAAAAATTAAAAATAAATGGGGAAAAACAGGCATTACGATTAACATCACCACAATGATCCTCTGGAATTGAAGAATACTTGGACGAATTTAGAGAATGGCGAGATGACAAAATAGAACTACCAACTATTGAAGGAAGTACAGAAGCACAGGTGGGGGTGATTCTAGCAAAATTGAAGTTTCCTAAGAACAGAACTTTTGAGAATTATTATATTCTTGGAAAACTTATAAATGAATACCCCTCAACTGTGAGAAAAAGCATTAATAAGAAATTGTCCAAACCAAATGTGGAGGATAAACTTGTCCGATTGGCAAAATGGACTGCAATCTTATTTGACATAGTAGGATTGTCCTATTTATCCTTACGGAAATTGACTCCTCATACTCTTTGGGACCTTTCTAATGAAAAATTCAAAGAATTAACCATGGGAGCAAGAGAAATCATTGCAGAACGATTAACGCCACCTGATTTATTGGAAGTACTATTGGGTGATTTTACTTTGCCTGTTTTGCAGGAGCTCAATGTTGAAGGAGGAGTGATGTTACCAGAATTAAATGATGACGAAGATAATTTGGCCGAATCCTTTAATTTCAGGTCAAATTAAATTTTATTTCTATTTTTATTTTTATTTTTATTTTTATTTTTATTATCTATTCTTATTTTCATTATTCTTATTTTTATTATTTTTATTTTATTAATTCTAATTATTTATTGATAATGTGTATAATTATTATCATCAGAATTCGTGTTATGTCCCATCTATTTAATTAATCTGTAGCATGTTCATATTTATTTAACTTTATTTAGTAGAGATTAATGACAATTATCCCAGACTGGGCGAAAACACCCAAACTGGGCAGAACTGCCCAATTCGGGCTAATATGTAAAGAACATGTATAGCATGTTCATATTTATTTAACTTTATTTAGTAGAGATTAATGACAATTATCCCAGACTGGGCGAAAACACCCAAACTGGGCAGAACTGCCCAATTCGGGCTAATATGTAAAGAACATGTATATAAAGAACTCGAATTTGACCTACTGTAAAAGTAACTTGATAACAAGTTAATTAGTTTTGACTAAATAAAACTAAATAAATAAAATAGAAATATTTTATTTAAAACTTTTATCTTCTTTACCCAAAATTATTCACTAATAACAAAACCAATTCATTGATACCCTATTCATTCTGATCCACACAAAAACAAAAATAATTGTTATCACCAATTAAAACACGCTCTCCCAAATTTAATTGGTGACACTATTACCAAAAGTATCCAGACACCTATTTTTACTAATAACACAAAAATCCACATAATAACTATACATAAAATTTATATCAATATGTAGCTCAGGTTTTAATGAATATTCATGCAAAATTTCATAATAATATTATATAAAATGATATTTTAATAATAAAAAAAAGAAATCCGATTTAAAAAAAAAATTTTTGGTGATAATCAAAATTTATTCAAAAATTCGCAGATCAGTTTTTATTGCAAGTTGTTTAACTTTTATTATAAAATACCTACGCACTCCAAAGAGCATAGTGGAAGTTTGTTGTTACACGAAATGTCATACAGAACTCATTGCTCCAGTATATAATTGTTATCTCTTTAAATTGGAGATCAAGTTCAGATCCAATTCAAATCCAGTTTATCACTTACTTTTTATTGCCAAAATGTTTGCCATGTATTGTAAAGCTACGTTGCACAATATAAAAAATTCGTGTAACATTTCAAATTTCCACTATGCTACTCCAAAGTTATGAAAAATTACATACTTAATAATGAAAACCTAAACAAAAAACCTATAAAAAAAAATTTTTTTTTATTATGTGGAATTTTAAACAATCAAGAAAACAAAAAACAATATTGCAATTTTTAATCAAACTTCTTATTTTTTTTATTAAAATATCATTTTATATAATATTATTATGAAATTTTGCATAAATATTCACTAAAACCTGAGCTGCATATTAATATAAATTTTGTGTATATTTATTATGCGGATTTTTGTGTTATTAATAAAAATAGGTGTCCGGATACTTTTGGTAGGGGAGTGTATATATATATTAATTATATATATATTTTTTAATAATATATTTTATTATATATATATTTCAAAAAAATTAAGAATTATTATTATATGTGAATTTTTTCATTAAGGCATTTTTTATGATTTATCATTAAGTTTATGTTTAAGAATATTAATTAGAACATTTAAATTTTATTATGAGTGGGAATAATCAATTTATAGATTTTACTGTAGGTGATGAAAATAATAATAATGATATTAATGAACAAAATAATGGCATTGATGACTTGACAGAATCATCAACATTATCAAGTGGATCTGGTCCCTCGACAAATATTAATAACATTAATGGTACATCAGATGTATACATGATATGGTAATTAGCTAATTACCGTAAATACGTAATTCGTAATTAACGTAATTAATTACCACTTTCACTC